CTACTTTTCCTTAATCTTGCTTCTGTTTGCAAATTTTTGTTTTTATTCTTGCTGTACTGTGATGCTGAGGATAGCATCTATCGAAAAGAGGGTGAGTGTAGGCAGGTGCGGTCTGCTTCCTCGACTGTAGGTCAGGGGTGTAAATCTGGCGGCCCTCCAGCTGTTATGAAATTACAAGTCCCCTCATGCCTCTACCTTTGGGAGTCATGCTTGTAACTGTCAATCTTGCAATGCCTCATGGGACTTGTTTGGCAACAGCTGGAGGGCTGCCAGTTTGACACCTGTGCATGCTGTAGGTGGTGCTTGACCAGAGTGGTACTGCTGCTGAAGGGGAAGTCGAGAAACCTAGTTTCTCTTTGATTTCTTGGGCCTCTGGGGCAGTGTTCCAGTTGGCTGCGCTGCATCCAGGTGACCCTGGTTGATAGTGCAGGGAAAGAGCACCCATCTGACAAGGAAAGTGATTAGCGGCAGAAAGAGGTTCCAGATGAGTCGGGACAGGGTAGGGATATGCCACCCTTTTTGGAAACCTCCCCATTGGGACCGGATCAGCCAGATTCCGCCCTTCAAGACAAACACTGTCAGTGCATCTGAACCTGCTGCATCTCCAAGATGCACAGAACTGAGTGTTGTCAGGTGTGGTGCACTTCCTGCTGGGCTGTTTGTAAAGTTGAGCAGTTCCATCAATACAAGTTTTCATTCTCTGCAAACGAAATGGAGAGAAAATCGCCACATTATGGACTGGCACCAAGTAATGGACTCTCACCTTTTTAAGGTATGCCGGATCAGACACAAGGCCCAAGAAATCAAAGAGAGACCAGGATTCTCTTGACCTCCCCTCCAGAAACAGTACCACTCAGGTCAAGCACCACCTACAATGGAGGAAGCAGACCACACCTGCCTACACCCCCCCCCCCTCTTTGACAGATGTCACTTAGCACGGACTCATCTTCAAGTTGTGGCTCGGGGGCATTGCACTTTGATGTTCGTGTTACAGTATGTACGTGCACTACAAGTTCAGTAGTTTGTTAAACTGTTTCCTGAGCTCCTGAGCCTGGTCTGAAGTTACTCACAAAGGGGTGAATAAAGGGTAAATGGCAATTACACATACAGTATGGGGTATGAAAAAAGCCTGTTACAAGGGGTTAACTTGACATCAGGAGTGGAGGAAATAAGCAGTTGCCACGGGTAACCAAGGATTGGTGTATAGTGTTTCAGCAGCCTGTTATGAAGTGTGGTACCTGGGTAGGGTAAGGTTTCCTCTGGTAGTGAGGGGGTGGGTGTTCTGGCTCCCTCCCCAGTGGTTTCCCATAGTAACCAGGACCCAACTCACTTTAAAGCAGAGCTCCAGTCTGTGAAAAAATAAAGGTCAGCAGCTCTGTCCCCGGCATCTTAAGTGTGAGCACTTAAGTCCCCGGCGCAGGCATCTTAAGTGTAGGCACCCAGCTGTGATAGCTTGTGGCTTCACAGCCAGGTGCACACTGCGCATGCGCGAGTAGCGCTGTGCATGGTGAATGGTCTTGCAGTCTTCTGGGACCTGTCACGTGTCCCAGAAGACTGCGAGGGGGGGGAGGAGAACTTCTGCTTCCGATTGCCTAGGCGTTCGGAGCGGAAGCGGGAACGTGTACTTGTCAAACTCAGGTACCTCCCCCCCGCTTCCCAAAGGTGGGGGACTAGTTATTAAAGCGGAACTTTCCCTTTTTGGGTCGAGCTCTGCTTTAAGGAGACCCGCAACCTAGCTGTGTGGGTACACATGAGGTCTGCGCTAGGTGCTCAGTGGGACCCCATTCTGTCACTAGGAGTGAGATGGCAGAGGTACGCTGGACAGCTGGAAAGGGCATGGGCTCTGCGGTGTCCCTCCTAAATTTAAAAGTTTTTAGTGACATGGGACATGGGACACCACACATCACTACACACCTTTTACAACTCATCTCTAATTTTTAAGCCGTAAGGTTGAATTCAACTGAACTCAGCCCCCCCGTCCAGTTCAAGGCATTGGTGAGTGTGTGCACACACAGAAAGGTATCCCATGTGCAGGGCAAGTGTCCACGCTCATTGCCAGGCATAGACCAAGAACCCAGTGGGCTTACAGCTTAGAGGAGTCAGCAAGGATGCTCTTGCTCTACACTGCCCATATACACACTTAAAAAAGACAGAATAATAAAATGTTACCAGAGTTTTTCCTAGTTATAATATACAAAATACCAGAGGTTCCCGTTTAAAAAAATATATGATGCCAAGTTCCACTTCACAATTGGCTGCTATTTCTGCAACAAATTCAAAAACATATAAATGTACCTCAAGTACTTACTATGGTCAAAAGATACATTTCATGAGTATATATATGTGGTAGCCGCTAGTGCACACAACCTATGTCTAAATCCCTTAACACAGAAAGTGAATATAAAATTAAAATTCAAATAATAAAAAAAGTCCAAACAAAGAGAATTCTGTGGACAGTCCTTATCATTACGACCACCATGTGCTGCTATCACAGGATGCAGGTGCGTACTATCCTTCACCATATATCTGCTCACCTCCAACAGTGTGACCTCACATTATACAATGTTTTGGTCTAACTGCACTTTTGGTCCCAATAGTATGGACTCTGAAGTTCAACGTGCTGAATAATAGCTCCAAAAACTCCCACTCCAGATAACTGCCTAGGATCAGCCGTGTTCCCCGTAAACAAAAGCTAAACATAGTGCTTTATCCTTTAAAACTTTTTATTGCACAATATCTATTAATAATTAACTCACATTCAATAGGTGCAAAACTGTACCAGGTATAATGAGCATCCAGTAATGCCTTACAGTTATGAGTAGTAAATGGCTCTGTATACCGCTGTGTTGATCGTGGCAACGTTGTGACGTCATCCGCATGCTCCTCCCCCAGAGCCATTTACTGCTCCAGGATCATCCATAACTGTAAGGTAATTGCATTACACATTCAGGGCCCACCTTTTGCCTATTAATATACAGGATTGTGATGAGTTGGAGCCTTTATTTGATGTACTGTTCTGTGCTGCTGGGGATAATACTACCATCTGGTGTTTAAGGAGTTAATTACTGGATGCTCATTATACCTGGTGCGGTTTTGCGCCTATTGAATGTGAGTTCATTATTAACGAATATTGTGCAATAATAAGTTTTAAAGGATAAAGCACTATGTTTAGCTTTTGTTTTTATGAGAAACACGGCTAATCCTAGGCGGTTATCTGGAGTGGGGGTTTTTGGAGCTACTATTCAGCAAGTTGAACTTCAGAGTCCATACTATTGGGACCAAAAGTGCAGTTAGACCAAAACATTGTATACAGGTGAAACTCGAAAAATTAGAATATCGTGCAAAAGTTCATTTATTTCAGTAATGCAACTTAAAAGGTGAAACTAATATATGAGATAGACTCATTACATGCAAAGCAAGATAGTTCAAGCCGTGATTTGTCATAATTGTGATGATTATGGCTTACAGCTCATGAAAACCCCAAATCCACAATCTCAGAAAATTAGAATATTACATGCAATCAATAAAACAAGGATTGTACATAGAACAATATCGGACCTCTGAAAAGTATAAGCATGCATATGTACTCAGTACTTGGTTTTGGCCCCTTTTGCAGCAATTACTGCCTCAATGCGGCGTGGCATGGAAGCTATCAGCCTGTGGTACTGCTGAGGTGTTATGGAAGACCAGGATGCTTCAATAGCGGCCTTCAGTGGTGGCTCTTGATGCACTGACTCCAGCCTCAGTCCACTCCTTGTGAAAGTCCCCAACACTTTTGAATGGCCTTTTCCTGACAATCCTCTCCAGGCTGCGGTCATCCCTGCTGCTTGTGCACCTTTTTCTTCCACACTTTTCCCTTCCACATAACTTTCTATTAATGTGCTTTGATACAGCACTTTGGGAACATCCAACTTCTTTTGCAATTACCTTTTGAGGCTTTCCCTCCTTATGGAGGGTGTCAGTGATTGTTTTCTGCACAACTGTCAGGTCAGCAGTCTTTCCCATGATTGTGATTCCTACTGAACCGGACTGAGAGACCATTTAAAGGCTCAGGAACCCTTTGCAGGTGTTATGGCGTAATTAGCTGATTAGAGTGGGACACTTTGAGCCGAGAATATTGCACCTTTTCACAATATTCTAATTTTCTGAGATTGTGGATTTGGGGTTTTCATGAGCTGTAAGCCATAATCATCACAATTATGACAAATCACAGCTTGAACTATCTTGCTTTGCATGTAATGAGTCTCTCTCATATATTAGTTTCACCTTTTAAGTTGCATTACGGAAATAAATGAACTTTTGCACGATATTCTAATTTTTCTAGTTTCACCTGTAATGTGAGGTCACACTGTTGGAGGTGAGCAGATATATGCTGGAGGATAGTACGCACCTGCATCCAGTGATAGCTGCACATGGTGGTCATGATGATAAGGATTGTCCACAGATGAATTCTCTTTGAACTTTTTTTTTTATTTTATTACTTGAATTGTAATTTTATATTCACTTTCTGTGTTAATGGATTTATACAGTTAGAAATTAAAAAACAACTACTGTACCTACAGTTCATGAAGCAGACCTAAACCCACCAATTTAACCACTTGCCTACCAGGCACTTTTACCCCCTTCCTGCCCAGGCCCATTTTCAGCTTACAGCGCTGTCGCACTTTGAATGACAATTGCGCAGTCATGCAACACTGTTCCCAAATGAAATTTTTAGCATTTTTTCACAAAACTAGAGGGTTTTTTTGGTGGTATTTACTCACCACTGGGTGTTTTATTTTTTGCACTATAAACAAAAAAGAGTTAAAAAATTTGAAAAAAAAAAAGATTTTCTTTGTTTCTATTATAAAATGTTGCAAACAGGTAATTTTTCTCCTTCACTGATGTGCGTTGATCAGGTTGCACTGATAGGCGGCATTGATAGGTGGCACTGATGGCGTCACAGATGGGCGGCACTGATAGGTGGCATTGACTGGCAGCACTGCTGTGCACTGATGGGTGGCACTGCTGGGCTGCACTGATGGGCACTGGTGGGTGGCACTGCTGGGCACTGATGAGCACAGGTGGGTGGCACTGCTGGGCCCTTGTGGACGGCACTGCTGGGCAGCACTGGTGGGGTGGCACTGCTGGGCACTGATCATCAGGGCACTGATCATCATCTACCTGTAATATCTACTATTGCTGGTCGCCATTGCACAGTAATCTCTTTGGGCCCTTATTGAGCTAACTGAAGACCCAGGACATTCTTTGCACCAAGTCACTCCTCAAGCCAAAGACTCGGTGCTTATAGCTGTGCATATGTTGAAGGGGGACTTTTAGAATTGGTAATAGTATAACTCATACATTTAGCTTTTACAGTGTTTTGTTATTTCTGGACCTGTGGCATCAGGATTTTAGGGGAACAAGCTGACACTGAGAAGTCTTTCGTTTCCCTTTCATACCTGAGGTCAAAGGCTCCCTACTGAGCATATCTGAAACACTGGTGGAATCATTGTGTTCGTCTCTGCTAAGTTCACCTGTGTTCACGTTTTGAGTCCAACAAGATGGTGGTTTCATAAAAAACATTATTTACTGTTCGCTGACTGAATATTTCTTAGGAAATATTCAATTGCTTTTCTGCATTCAAGTGTCTGTGAATTTCGTCCTGTGTGCATTATGCCTGAACCCAGGGTGTCAGAGGTGCTGGATGGCTTGCAAGGTCAGGGCAACCTTTGGGGACCCGTGTATTACAGCAGCCCTCGCGAAGGTCGACCTATAAGGCATGCCCTGAATGAAAACTGTCATAGTTACTATTATACTTATGTTAACACTCAGCCAACTGTCAAACCATTAAAGCAAAACTAAACCCTCCTATCCTTTTCAGCCAAGGAAACTGCCATCTTCGCCTTCAACTGCCATGATGCTACACATGAGGTCACTTAAGACACCAGCCATTTAAAGGTTTGACAGTCTGGTCGAGAGTACAAGCAAACGGGAGTTACATTCCTGGCACGTGCCAAGAATGTATTGGTTTTTGAAACTGTTAAATCGGTTTAGTTACGCTTTAAATGACTGATGTCATAACTGATGACATGTGCAGCACAATGGCAACTGCAGATCAAACAGAGGCTAAAATAGCAGCTTCTGTCACTGTAAAGAATAGGATGGTTCAGTCTAGAGATAGGTGAGTACTCAGAGAGGGACCACAGGGTGTGCACATCTTTTTTTTTTTTTTTTTTATAACTGCACACTGCTAAAATTCAGGTCCAGTCTAGAGGAATTTTTAAGATTTATGCAGGTTGCAAAAATGCAGGGAGGAGGGTTCCTGAATATCTTTTCCTAGTAGTACTGGGCCCTATAGTAGCAGCCTCAAAAATAATGCTGATAAAATAGGGGACCGTCAATAAATCTGTTACCCCATGTGAGCAGTCACAGTCCTTAAAGCGGTAGTAAACAACCATGGTTCACTTGTACCTACAGGTAAGTCTATAATAAAGCTTACCTTTAGATACTTAAAATATCTCCTAAATGTGCACTGTTTAGGAGATATTCACTATTTCTGCAGTCAGTGACATCACCGGTGCATGCACATTGTGCTCTGAAGGGACACATGCCGTCTCTTCAGAGCTCTGTGCCGCAGCCATGACTCCTGTGTGCATATGCAGGATAGACATCATCACTGCTCAACTGCTCAGATGCTGTTGGCTATGCAGTGTCACTGTCTGTTAGGACACTATTGGCTGAACAGCATCCCTGGTTGCCAGGATGCTGTCATCTACATGGCGTGTCTGGCTATTAGGTTGCTGTCAGCTACTCAGCATCACTGGTTGCTAGGATGCTGTCAGCTACATAGCATCACTGGTTACTAGGATGCTGTGGACTATGCAGTGTCACTGTCTACTAGGATGTTGTTGGTTAAACAGAATTCCAGCTTGTCAGGATGCTGTCAGCTACATGGCATCTCTGGTTGTTAGGAAACTGTCAGCTACATGGCATCTCAGGTAGTTAGGATGCTGTTGGGTACTCAGCATCATTGGTTGCTAGGATGCTGCCGGCTGTGCAGTCTCACTGTCTGCTAGGATACTGCTAGCTGTGCAGTGTCAGTCTGCTAGGATGTTGTTGGCTAAACAACATCCTAGGTTGCCAGGATGCTGTCAGCTAATTTGTGTCTCTGGTTGTTAGGGTGCTTTCAACTACACAGCATCACTGGTTGCTAGGAAGCTCTGGGCTACAGCATCACTGGGTGCCAGGACAGCAACCAGTTGAACTAGTGCCACTGTTGACTACACAGCATTACTAGGTGCAATAAGTGACACTGTGCTTCCAACAGCAAGCATTCTGGCATCCAGTGATGCTATGCAGCTAAATGGGAACTAAACATGCACTGATGGCAAACAGGGGACATGCTATGGACACTCAGGGGAAGATTTAGTAAAACGTGCCCACAGAATCTGGTGCAGCTGTGCATGGTAGCCAATCAGATTCTAACGTCACCTTGTTCAATTAAAGTGTTACATTCACTCTGTCTGGTCTCCCACAGTACACAGAATATGGAAATGTAATTGTTTTAGTAAATATAAACTGCTAAATACCTTTTTCTCAACAGTAGTTAGAGCAGTCTTGTGACTTCTATCAGTGTGCAGCTGAGCACTGGTTAAATGGTTAAAGCTTGTAGGAGGAGTTTTCATTTTGCTCTAGAAGGATGCAGAACCAGGGGCGGACTGATAACTTATGGGGCAATAGGGGATCATGGGGCCCCTGTGTCCTTGCCCAAACTCAAAAAAGCCTATGAAAAAGGTACCAGGGGCATCTCATGGGGCCCCCTACTGACCCCGGGCAGTGCCTGAGTTTCCAAATGGTCAGTCCGCCCCTGTGCAGAACCCTAGACCTCTGTCTGGACAGTGCTGATTGGCCCTGTATTGATCACATGCACTCTCCCAAGAGGAAAAAAAAAAAACTATCTAGCCATACACACCAAACTGAGCATGTGCAGAGTGTCTCCACACAATATGTCTTATCAGGAGACAAGAGGGGGACACTGGAAGAAGGGGAGAATCAGAGAAGACAGGATCAAACAGCGTTTTTACACAATGCACAGGATTAACCCCTTAGGACCCACAGTGAGTATAACCAGCATGCTTTACTGCATTGTACACTTTAAGCTTTGACAATAACATCTGGAAGCTGATTGGTTTCCATGCAGAGCAGAGCTGCGCCAGATTTTGTACCATGCAGTTTTAGTAAGCCCTCCCACTCCAGCAACACATTCACAGACTGTTTCTGACACTTTCTATGAAATTCAGGGAATCATTTTGTCACCAAAGGTGTATTGTAAGAAAGACATTCCCAATATATCAGGGCCTCGTCTAGAACCAGAGCCACCGAGCATCGCCCAGGATATCACCTGAGGAACTCCAGGACCGTTATTATCATATTATTACCAACTAGCTAGTACTTCTCACACACCTACACTGAAAAGAGCTCACCATGGCCAAACATGAGCTTGTAATGTATATAGGTGTCTAGCTGCAGGAAGCTTGAAAGCGGCTCACAGGGTGACTTTTTTTTGTCCAGTACGTGCTGTAGCTGGAACATTCCCCGCCTCCCTTCACTGCAGTGCACAGAGGAGAATGAGAGGCGAGGAGACGGCAGGTAACATGCACAGAGGGTCACCTGTACTGGGCGATGGGGAGCAGCGGCCATACGGGGCTCCTATACAGCATGACACATGGGGAATACCAGGCCTTCTCATGACATTAGATTAGAGATAGGCTGTGTGTTATGTGGACATCTCCTAACATATAACGGCTGCTATCTGTCTTCTGCAGCTCTGACAGCATTGTGGCTACATGTGCTTGTTTGGTAGGGCACCCTTTAGTAACATGGCAGCTGCAAACACAGTAACACATGCAGGAAAACCCTGTTTATTCTAGATCTCCTTATTACAGCTAGTTCCATGTTTTCCACTGTCAGAACTGTTGTTTTTTTTTTTAAAGGAGAATGCCACCTTTTATTAAAAAAAAAAAATAAATATGCCCATTTTACAAAGAAGCAATTATTTTATTTATTTTTGTGTTTGATTCTGCAAAGCAGTGCATCAGTGGATTGTACAGGATCCTGCAGACTATTCCTTCAGCCCCAATGGAGGTATGGAGCTGGAGGAGGAATCGGACTACATAGGTGGGGATGTCTACACCAGCCTTTCTTAACCAGGGTGCCTTCAGGCTTCTTCAGGGTTGCCTTCAGGCTTCTTCAGGGTTGCCTTCAGGCTTCTTCAGGGTTGCCTTCAGGCTTCTTCAGGGAGGCCTTGGCAAAATGTCCAAAAATTGTATACAAGCCAGCAGGTGGATCAATCCTGCCTTTTAGTTACACAAAGCCACAGGTTTTCATTGTGCACTTTTATGACCGTCTAGCTGCCAGCATCCTAACAACCAATTACATCATTGGTTGATAAGGAAGGTACATGCACGTCACCCTTGTTTGGCCTTCCCCTGCCCCTCTCCGTCAGCACTGGGGTCACATTAGCAGAGTGATGGAGAGAAAATGAGAGATACATACTGGAATACTAGCCAGTAGCAGCGTGCAAAGGTGTATTTACTTTGAAAGAATAAATCACCTCTAGTGTTGGGTGTACTGGATGTGTGTAGAAAAGATTTTTACATTTTAGATTAGGGTGCCTTGAGATTGTGCAGAATTTTAAAGGATGCCTTGAGATTATCTCATTTTAAAGGGTGCCTCGACTGAAAAAAGGTCTACACACTTGTGCTTCATTGAGAGCTACGGTGGCCAATGGCACTTATTTTATTTATTTACTACAGGTACTTATATAGCGCCGTAATTTTTTTTGCAGCACTTGACATATATTGCATGTTCACATCCGTCCCTAACCTTCAAGGGGCGTACAATCTAAAGTCCCTAACCTACATACATACTAGGGTCAATTTAGAAAGCATCCAATTAACCTACCAGCAGGTCTTTGGAGTGTGGGAGGAAACTGGAGTACTTGGAGGAAACCCACGCAGGCACAGGGAGAACATGCAAACTCCAGGTAGGTGGTGCCTTGGTTGGGATTCGAACCAACGACCCTAGTACTGCTAGGTGGAAGTGCTGACCATTTAGACACTGTGCTGCCAAATAGCTTTTTTTCACTCGCAGGTTCCTGTAAAGCAGTGTTTCTCAACTCCAGTCCTCATGAACCCCCAACAGGTCATGTTTTCAGGATTTCCATTATTTTGCACAGGTGATTTGATCAGTTTCACTGCCTTAGTAATTACCACAGCTGTTTCATCTGAGGGAAATCCTGAAAACATGACCTGTTGGGGGTCCATGAGGACTGGAGTTGAGAAACACTGCTGTAAAGGAATGATGCAGGTAGAGCAGGACTGCTGTTAGAAATTGTGCAGCACCATACTGCTTGCCTGCCTGACAGGGCCCCTCCCTTTGGTTGGGTAGAGATGAGCCAAAGGTTTGGTCCAAACCCAGGTTTGGACCGAACTTTGTTTTTTTTTTTTTTTTTTTGGGGTGTTCAGATGATGATGCCATCACTATCCCTGCCCCTTCTCCTATATAGCCTATGACTGCTTGGGCAGTTGGCAGACAGAGGCCATTGTGATTGACAATGGATTTACAACAGGGCCGTATCTAGCCTGTCTGATATGGGGGTGCGGTAAAAAATGTCAGGGATCAGAGGTCAACAGGGGAGAGAACAGGGGTCAATGCTGGCAGGGCACAAGACGGACACAACTCCTTCTCCCACACAACGCACAGGGCAGTATGGTGGAAGGTTAGAGTAGTATAACGGCAATATAGTGGCAGGTTAAGGTTGGCTTTGGAGGGGGCACAAATAAAATCTGGGGGGCATAGTCCACCCCCGCAGCCCCCTAGATCTGGCCATGATTTACAATGAGAGCCTTCTGCGGACCTTTTACTGTGCATGTGCCCAAATGTGTTTAGAGTCCCTCTTTGCCCTGGGCCCCCTGCTGAATTGAAAGAGCCTGGGTTCCTAGCACTACTCCCCTAACAACAGCCCTGGGTAGAAGCCACACAGCTGCACCAATTTCAAACCTGACAATAGCTGGCAGGGAGAAGCGCGCCAGAGTTCTGTAAGTGGGGGGCTGTTCATGCTGACCACGTTTCATTTTAGGCTATATTCACACTGGTGATTTCGTCCGGTGCGAATAGAAGCAGCAGACATTTTCTGATTCCTGTTGAGGCTTTGATAGGCAAGGGGCAGCCACCGGCCCACTTAATTATAATGATAGGTTGCTGGCGGGTGCAGCTCTTCGGGGTTCTCTGCACAGCTAGCAATTTCCTGCGGTGATTGCTGCTGAATGTACTTTGTGTGCGTCCAGCAGCAATGGTTGTAGGTAATCGCTGGCTGCTTCTAGCCACTCATAGCTGAAGCAAGAACCTTCAATTTGCACCCACCTAAATCACCAGTGTGAATATAACCTTACACCTTAAGAACCCTAGGCACATTTTTTTTTTTTTTTTTTTTTTACATGCAGTTGGGCTGTTCCCGCACTGCATGGGTTAACTGCTTGTTTTTGTCTAGGGGTTCGAAGAACTGAGATATGCTCACCTAATTTTCCAAGACCGGTACCTTTGGCTCCTGCCACCCACGGTCCGGCAGCCTTGTGTGGTGGACTGTTTTTAACTTCATCACGTCGATAGGCTGGCTCTAGACATGAAGACGTCAGGAACAGTCCACCGCTTGACGTGGGGGAGCGCTGTTTTATAAAAGATTAGGTGAGTATAAGTGCTGTATGTACCCCTAGAGAAAACAAGCAATGAACCCATACAGTGCAGGCACAGCCCCACTGCATGGTAAAAACAAAAAAAAAAAAAAAACATTCTGTTCTAAATACGTGTGTAATATGAAATATGGACTGTAAGGTGGAGTTAGCTTTATATTGAACATCAGAAATAAAACCACATGCACATTCTTAGAGGATCAAGTGATGGTTTACACCAGCCTTTCTCAGCCAAGGATCCATGGAACCCAAAGGTTCCTCCTGAGGTTGCTAGGAGTTCCCTGAGCCACAACCATCAATTTAAGGAGCACTACAATTTTCACTGTCTTTCTTTTTCTATTAACATTGTTCATTCAATCACAATATGTTACGTTAAAGTAAAACTAAACCCTCCTATCGTTTTCAGCCAAGGAAGTTGACATCTTAGTCTCTGTTTGATCTGCAACTGCCATAGTTGTACACTTTTGACCAGTTATGACAGCAGCCATTTGATAGTTTGGTTGAGAACACAAGCAAACCTGACAGTTGGCATTCCTAGATTGCTGGGAATGTAACTGTTTTTTGAAACAGTTAAATCGATGAGTTTAGGTCCACTTTAAAGGCTTTTTTATACCATGGCGCAGAGATGTCAGTTTTTCTGCACGTATTCTGCAAAAGCAAAATAAAATCAATTGTTCTTTTTGTGCCCTGTTCATACCTCAACACTAGTATCACTTGAAGATTTTTTTTTTGCACAGGAATCTGCAACGTGCATAAAAATCATTCTGTAAACTGATGTCTCTGCAAGTGAAATTTGCGGAGACATCAGTTTTTCTGCACGTATGGTGTGAATGAGGCCTAAAGCAGACTGAAAGTTCTGTTGTTGCAAACTGCAAGCAGGCAGGCTTATAGCTTTCTCCAGCATGTAAACTGAGCAGCTTACATTGCCAGTATGGTCCCTGTATGCTGGAATGATTGACTCCTGCTCATGATATCATCCCAGTCAATGAAGACGGCCAAAGATCTGCACCCAGAACAAGATGCCAGCGAGGGACAGGAACCATTGAAGAAAAGGTAAGCTTATATCTGCTTTAAGATAAAACATCTCCCCAGTACATTTTTCTTTTCCCCCTCCCTGCCATCC